TTTAAACTGTGTGCCAGTTCTTCAGATGTCGTTTTTTATTATCATTCAATTACAAATATTTTCAGTTTTCAATAGGATTTTTTTGATCCATGGGTTATTTAAAATGCTAAAAATTTCCAAGTTCATGTGACTGTTTAGTTATCTTGTTATTGATACCTAGTTTAAATGAATTAAGATCAAAGAATATAACTGGTGTGATTATAATCCTTTTAAATTGGTTGAAACTTTCCTTCTGACTGACATATATGGTCAGCGTCCTGTGTGTGTTTACAAAGAATGTCCTGCAGCTGTTGGATGTTCTCACATGTTGGGTACAGTGTTCTATCTAACCTATGTTCATTGAGTCAAATTTGTTAATCATACTGTCTGATTCTTCTATCAATTACTGAGAGTCATGTTAAAATCTCCCAAGTTATTTGCAGATTTATTAATATATTGTTAATTTTTGCTTTATATGTTGAAATTGTGTTGTCAGATGCGTGCACATGTATACTTGTTACTTTCTAGCTGGTTGACTAATTAAGCACTTAAATATAAAAGGCAAAACTTTAAAATATGTAGAATAAAACACAGGAGACTGTCTCTGACCTGTGAGAAGAATTTTTTTTAAATGACACAAAAGTATTAAGCTATCAGAGAAAGTATTTGCAGTGCAGACAACCAACAGGATTGGTATCCAGAACATATAAGTAATCTTATGAATCAATGAGAGACAATCTTATGCAAAAATTGGGCAAACATTTGTATAGGCATTTCACAGAAGAGGAAACTTAAATGGATAATAAACTTTTCAAAAGATGCTCAACCACAGTGGTAATTAGGGAAATGCAAGCTAAAACCATGAGATACCATTATGTATCCACCTCACATATGTACCCTCCTACTAATAAAAATGACAAGTGAAAGTGAAAGTCGCTCAGTCATGTCCAACTCTTTTCCACCCAGAGTTCCCCAGGCCAGAATACTGGAGTGGGTAGCCTTTCCCTTCTCCAGGGGATCTTCCCAACCAAGTGAAGGAACCCAGGTCTCCCGCATTACAGGCGGATTCTTTACCAGCTGAGCCACAAGGGAAGCCCTAGATTAATGGGGACTCCTACTGATAGTGGCGGTGTAAATTGGCACAGTCGACTTGACCAACTATTGAGCATTACTTACTTGAAGATGTGCATGCCATATGTGCCGCTGCTTATTAGGTATGAAGTGAAGTGAAGTCGCTCAGTCGTGTCCAACTCTTTGCGACCCCATGGACTGTAGCCTACCAGGCTCCTCTGTTCATGGGATTTTCCAAGCAAGGGTACTGGAATGGGTTGCCATTTCCTTCTCCAGGGGATCATCCCGACCCAGGAATCGAACCCAGGTCTCCCGGGTTATTAGGTATAAACCTAGACAAATTCTTGCTCCCGTTTACTGGTACACATATCCAATAATGTGTATGGCAGCATTGTTGCTAATAAGGATAGCAACAGAGATAATTTTAAAAATAAATCAACTAAAAACAACTACTTATTAACAGTAGTTTGGATATTTAAATTGTTTAATTTTCATACACTGGAATACAACAAAAGTTTGAATTTAAAAAAGCTAAGGAAGACATGCAGCATGATTCCATTTATTTAAAGTTCAAAGAACAGGCATAATGAAACTATACTTTCTAGGAATACATACATGGGAAAACTAAACATACATGTAGAATGGGAAAACTAAACAATACGTTTGTTGGAAAAATGTATTTATGAATTATTTACAAACAGAAAAAAGCAGACACTAAACGTAGAATAGTGATTAACTCAGGGCTGGGAGAGAAACACAGGGGCCTTCAAAGGTTTTCAATACTGTTGTATTTCCAAAGCTAGATAGTGAATTAATGAGTGGAATTTTTTTGTATTATTCTCCAAACTGTACATTGCATTAGATATACTCTTCAGAATGTATTTTACAAGGCATTTTCCTTTTGAGGTTCTCACCTCAGTGAATCCCAACACACTGACTGGAGCCTCTTTATCCTCTACTTCATTTTTTGGATATTATCAGCCTCATCTCCTGTGACGTGAGAGAAAACAGTATATAAGCTAGCCCCAGTCATGCTTCCTAGTGAAGGCTATTCTGAGTCTGGACTTCCCAGGTGGCACCAGTGGTAAAACCCACCTGCCAATGCAGGCGACATAAGATACGCTGGTTTGATCCTTGGGTCAGGAAGAGCCCATGGAGGAGGAAATGGCAACCACTCCAGTATTCTTGCCTGGGTAATCCCCTGGACAGAGCAGCCTGGCAGGTTATAGTCCATGGGGCTCACAAAAGAGTTGGACACAACTGAAATGATTTAGCACGCATGCATTCAGAGTCTGTTTCTAGCAGGGCAATCCTATATTGGTGTTTTATAATTCATACTCCTTAAAAAATTCCTACTTTTAACTGTAACCTGAGTTCTCAGTAACTGGGTTCAAATTACTCAATATAGAATAACCAATTATCTGGGAAAACTGTGGGAAAATTTGTGTCATCTATGTTAAGACAAATACTGTAAAGCTGAAGTAGCGTATCTGAAAAAGTATTAAAGGTTGATTCCTACAGATAGTGGAAAATATGTGTACACCTGTGGCCTGTTGTAATTCCCCTGGTGATCTGAATAAAACATTCACTGTTTTCTTTCCCTCTTTTAAAAACACTTTACTGTGGTATAATATACTTCTCATAAAAACTGCCCATTATGTATACAGCTCACTTATTTATAGTATGGGCTTCCCTGATGGCTCAGCAGGTAAAGAATATGCCTGCAATGCAGGAAATGTAGGTTTGCTCCCGGGGGTCAGGAAGATTCCCTGGAGAAGGAAATGGCTACCCACTTCAGTATTCTTGCCTGGAGAATTCAGAGGAGCCTGGCAGGGTACAGTCCATGGGGTTGTAAAGAGTCAGACAGGACTGAGCAACTAACACTATTTATAGTACATTTGTGTGGCTATGCAACCATTACCACAAAACATTCATTTTTAAAAATACATTGTCCAAGTCTAGATTAGAATTTACATTCATTCCTACTTATCTTTCATTTTGTCCAACTTAATCACGTCTTTCTTTTCCTTTGAACTTTCTCCTCCTCTACTGGTGAATATTGACCTCCCCTTTCTCTGAACTCTGTAGCACTTGTCTGTCCCAAAGGACAGACTTTACATGTCAATTATCTAGAACTTTGCCTGTATATGACTTAACGAGACCCTCATTTTTCCCCCAAATTCTTTGTCATATTACTTGAGGGTTTTTTTTTTTTAACCATAGTGCCTAAAATCCCACCATTAGAAATATTTACTTATTTGTATGGACTGTATATTAGCTAGTAAGTAGTATTGTGTTAAGTTTTCTGAATTTGATAATTTAGTACTGTGATTATGTAAGAGAATATCTTGGTTCTTAGAAGATACTTGCAGATGTATTTAGGAATAAGAATCTTAATGCCTGCAACTTATTCTAAAGTAGTTGAGCAAAAATGACAATAGTAACAATTATAGACACACACAAAATTATATGGGGTGGATGTCAGGAAGAGAGACTAAGAAAATATGGCAAAATGTTAATGATTGGTAATTAGGTGGAGAGTATATGGGAGTTTATCATACAAATATGCAATTTTTCTCTATGTTTAAAGTTTTCTTAAAAGATTTTAAAAAGAGAGAAATCATGTTCCTTTGGTTCAGTGGTTCTCTGCCCTGGACACATTAGTAAGCTTTTAGAAACTACAAATGCCTGGGCCACAACTGCTAGAGATTCTTATTTAATTGGTCTTAAATGGGGTCCAGGCACCTGAATTTCTTTTAAGTCCTCCTAGGTGAACCTTTTTTTTTTTTTTTCTTTTTTATACTTTTATATCCTTCAAAACATCTAGCAAGGTTCCAGATACAGAATAGGTCTTTATTACATTCCAGTTTAAATGAATTCATTTAAAAAACAAAAAACAAAAAAACATTTCTTAAATGTAGCCATAACATGTCATGACTGTTTGCCCAAATCAGCAGTTACAAATGTATGTATATTGTGTATTCCAACACTACATAAATATTACCTGTAGTGTAGGTATCCTTCCACTATGACAGATAGGATAGGGGGCTTTTACCTTGCCAAAAGAGCTCTGCTGATTGTAATTTTAGAAGGCCATGCTGCAGATCCTAAGCACTGCTCCCTTGCCCTCCATCCCTCCCCCAAAAAACTGTCAGATATAGAGAATGAAGCCCAGTTAGATGGGACTTCTGTGGAAAGGAGACAGGGATGGTTCCTCAAGGGTACTGGTGAGGTTAGTAATGCTTAGAAAGAAGGAACAAGCTAAAGAATTAATATATTAGAGTGTACAAGATGAAATACACTGCTGTTTAAATTATAGGCAGGAAAAAAAATTATAGGCAGGAATGTTTACAAGGACATAGTCTAAAGTAAATGGATATACTTAAATATATTTGAATACAGAAAAACAAGTGCTCCACACATAGGTAAACCAAGAAAAAGGAACTGAGAAAGAGTCAGAGATTTGCTGGACTAAAAAAGTATCTTGAGAGAATTCAAGACCAGATTATAAACTAGCCCAGTCCATCTTATTTTTTAAGTCTCAGGAACAGTTTTCCTTTAATTAAAGTAACAGTTTCCAGGAAATAAATGTTTTGTAAAGTTTACATAAGAGCATAATTAAATAGGAAGAAGAGTGCACATCTGAAAATAATCTGTTAAGAGTCATTATGTTGGAGAATAAGGACCTCATGATAGAATTTCTGATCATGTTTGAAAAGGGTTCCTGAACATCACAAACTCAAGTTGCATTTTGCTCTGGTAAAAAAGGATGATGAGCATGCTCATGAAAGTGGCTCCTGTGTCATAGTAGACCCCAGAGAATTAGAATAACATCTCAAAAAGCTCCAATGAAATCCATTTAGAATACTGAGAATGGAATTCAGTTTGTGAATCCTCTTTTCATTTTCCAGAGTTCCCCATACATTGGGAAGAGAAACCAGTGAGACTGGTAAACTATTTCAATACCTCTTTAATAACTCTCTGAATTTACACAATCGTATAACAGATTACTGTGGATGTAAGATATGCAGTGGTTCTTTATTCTCTCCACCATCATTAAGGCAAGGGCAGAAGTAGGGGTAAAGTTTCTCCATGAACGTGCTACTGAAGGTGTAAATGTGGGTCATAGTTTTAGCATTGTAGAAGGACACTTGTCCTCCCTCATAATCTAGATATATGCCCACCTTGTTGAGGTTGTTAGTCAGTTTCAGACTGCAAGAAGGAAAATCCAGAGCCTTTAGATCAGTTTGGTTCCTTAGTCTTAAAAGCCAGAATCCTTGCTCAGGAGTTAGAGGACAGCTGCCCTTCCGAAGGATGGATTCTCTGACAACTCCAACTGTCCATTTTGTCTTCTTTGCTACTTCTACTTCCCAGTACCACTTTCCAGATGTGAAGCCTTTTGAGCCCAGCACAGCCACACTTGAGTCAAACCTCTCTGGATCATCAGGCATTACCTGCTTAATGTCACCATGCCACACACTGGTTCGGTTTTTGGAGAGCACTAGATTTGGGTGAGCAGTTTTAGGGTCCAGAGTTAATGGAGATAAGCCTAGTAAGAAAATAAGAGAAAGCAGGGCATGGGGAGAAAGGGATGAATGCAGGTCCCGTAGACAGTATCTCTGTGCTTTATCTGCCTATGCCGTATATGCCTAGATGGGCAGATGATAACTTAAATACTACGTATATATATATATATATATATATATAGTTTTGATATCCATGTAGCTACATTCTAGACATTTTTTATATTTGTGGTAAAAAATCAGACTTTACTCTGAAGCAATTTATACTCTAATAAAAATTACAGATAATATAAATCTGTACTAATACATATAAGAAAATAACAAATGCTGAAAGGATAAAGATTCAGTAAGTGTGCCCAAAAAAGGTTTCTAAGGCAATAAGTATTTTAGTTTTATTTAATAAGTATTTAGTATTTAATAAGTATTTAGTTATGCAACATGCATGAAATGTATCAGGATGCTTTGGGTAAACAATGGCAAAAACAGAATGAGTTAAAAACAGTAGCTTGCATGATAGAGAAGATAAGGGCTTGCCTTTTAGGAGCAGGTGAGACTGAACTAACTGATACAGAATTTAGAGGACAATGGTATAAGTTTGCATTTGGTTTAATAGACACTGGAACTTTTGAGGTCTGGAATGGTTAATGCCACTGATGATCCAACTGTAATTCACAGACTGTATAATTGCTAGTCTGGGACAGGATGGTAGAGAAATTAAGAGTAAGCTCTTAGAAACTGTCATAGAAATCTGACAGAGTAATTTTATATCAATCAATTTAGTTAAAAAAGTGAGCTTGCACTTTGTAATTTTTTTAACTCCATTTTTTCAAATAACATTTATATTCTACAAACATCAGTTTTTAAAATTGGTCCTTCATCACAGGTAATTTGACAAGTGGTTTAGACAGATCAATGGACAGCAGTATAAAAAAGGAATTTCTAAATGAAGAGAGGTTGGAAGCGTATTAGCAAGAAGGTGACACAAATTCTAAGTGTGAGATAATTGAGCCTTGGCACAAAATTTGATAAAGGAAACCCAAAAACTGTTCAAATTAGACAAAGATACAAATATGCATTTGTATTTGTAACACATTTGTTGTTAATGGATTTATTTGTCCTTGGAAGCAAGAACAATCCAACCTCTCTCTCTCTTCTCAGAAAAGCTTGGGTGTTTTCCATCATCCCAGAGACTTTTTCTTTCTAACAAAGAGACTTTGAAGAATCCTGAAGATTTTCCACATAGGCCAAATCTTCTCACTGTCACAGATCGATCCTCATTCATGTAGGGTTGTTATTTTTTCAGATGTGAGGACTGTAATTTCTTTGGAGGTATCATAAAGAATTCCTGCTAACCTTTTTAGAACCCCAGTCTGCTCTCATCACCAAGCCTCTGACATCTCCAGCTAGCTCAGCCTGCCCTCGCTTTGAGGATTCCTAGGAGTCAGCTTTGCATCCCAGCTTTTCTTCTTATGCCATATTCAATCCAACAGTAAGTTCTGTCAGCTCCACTTTCAGAATATATTCTGAGCCTACTCAGAATATATAGACATAACTTCCACGGATACCAGTGTCTTGGAACTACTGCAGTAGCTTTTTAACTGTTCTGTTTCCACTCTTGCCTGTCTGCAGCCTATTCTGCCAATAACAAGAATGAGATCATCTAGTTCTCCGACTCAAAATACTCTTATGCTTCCCATCATCCAAGGTAAAATCCAGAGTCATTATTGAAGAGACAAGACCTGCATGATTTACCCACTTCTCTGACCTCATCTCCCACCGCTTACCACCTCCCTCCCCCAATTCAGTTTGGTCCTTGCCTTTTGGCTGTTCTTTGAACATACTAAGTTCATTCCTACTGCAGGGACTTTACACTTTCTATTCCTGTCCCTGGACATTCTTTCCCCACATTGTTTACTCCTTCACATCATTCAGATCTTTATTCATGCAAGTTCAATAGAATGTTATTGATAGAATCTAGCTAGGTTAGAAGTATTTACTGTAAAATTCTTTAAACTTTTCAGTATGTTTAGAAATGTCTACAATAAAACACAGGGAGAACCTGCTCAAAGAGATTTTCTCTGGGCATTCTATCTAAAGTAGCATGTTCACCCATGTATCATGGTTTATATTCTTATCCTGCTTTCTTTTCTCTCATAAATTATTATTTGTTGAGTGTGTCATGCTTTGTTTTCTTCACAATAGTTATCAGTATGTGAAATTACTTAATTGTCTCTTCCACTAGAGTGTAATCTCTGGAAAAGCAGGGACTTTGTTTTGTTTCCTCATCTATCTTCAAAATTTGAAACTGTTCCTAGGTATTCAAGTAACTATTTGTTAAACAATTAAATGAACTGCAATTAGAGTTCCATATGAATCTTTGACACCAACTAATTTCACCATGCCTCGTATTCCTGTTATCCTTCACATAAATACCCAGATTGTAGATCTCTCTAATGATTTAATGTCTACTGCACTTTTATCCTCATTGTTCTGTTCTTTGCTTCCTCTGCCTTCACCCATCCTCCAGCTGTTCCCACCCAACCATTTCCACTCTGCCCTTTGGATCTACCGCCCCGTTTAACTCTCATACATCTTCAGTTTACAGAATCCTCTTATCACCTCCTTAATTTAACGTAATCCAGACTGATTCTCCCAAAAAAAAAAAAAAGCTAACTGAAAAACAGTTTCCAGAAGTTCAAGAGACTATTCATTTTCTAAATTCAGATGCTGGAAATCAGATAGCCACCATCATCACTTCCAGGCCTGTGCTCTGTTCCTCAATCTCATGTTAAAAAATCATTCTTCATTTGAGGCTCTTGTCATTCCTTTTCACATTTCTCTCCTGTCTCTATTTAATGCTATCATCTACAAACTTTTCTTGGTTATACCCCCTGCATTTTGGGTTGGCCTTACTTTCCTACATCAAATCTAGCCCATGGGATTTTACTGTCTTTTGGATATAGCTGCCCTTCTCTTCTTGCATGTCTGTGACTTTATTGCTAATGACTTTTGACTCCTTTACATTTAAGCTGCCCATATCAATGACTATATTCTGGAACTTGTAGTCATCAGGAACTGTTCATTCTCTAAAATCTTCAATTCAGGTATGCCGTACTCTTTATTTTTTGAGCTTTCTCACTCCCATCTCTCCCTACAACCATTACTTGACTTCATTAATGTCTCCAGACTCCCCATATTTCTCTTTATTATCCTAATCTCTTTGCTTCCTGGCTTAAAATTCTTCCCTAAACAGTTTAGCATTGATAGCTTTGTTGCCAATAACCTCAACACTTTTGTCCTCTTATGTTTCTGTTTCTGTAGCATCTGCCATGCAGCTCTCCAACCTTGGATCTATTCAGCTATTCAACTTCACATCCCAGTTCCTCACCATTGCAGGATGAAAACCACAAAATTATGCATACAGATACTGCTGCAAATTGATTATTTCTACTCTATGCTTGGCCATCAGCACTGCCCCAGACTCTTATATTTCCTAAATCAAAGCCTCTCCACTTCCTCACAACAGCAATTTCAAACCTTCAACTCCTCCTCAAATTACTGTTCCACCACTTCGCTCCTCAATTCCAGGCGGAAGGCTTCATCTCCTCTTTCACAGAGAAACTACAGTACATTTTATAAATGAATAGATGAAGAAATGAATCCCTCAATTCTTCCTACTCATACTGCAAACCCTGTCTCACAAAATTGTTTGCTTCTACGGTCTTTATCGCCTCTCCAGTTTTGGAGAAAGCTATGTAAAGTCAGTACCTCTCTCTTCTGTAGCTCTCACTCTTCCCAACGTTCACCAATTATTCCCTTTTTTATACTATTGATTTCTGCCCTTCCACAGGCTGCTTCCAGTCAGTATGTTTTTAGGAGTCCTCTCTTGTCTTTGCTTCCACATATACACCTTCCCTTCTTATTGAAGCTTCTCAAATGAGTGATCTGTTCACTTCATTACTGCCTCATTCCAAATTGTTCCTGAACCCTATACAATATGTAATAACTTATACTCATTCCACTCTTTTGAAATCACCCCTGTCAAAGCCACCAATTGTTAAAAGCATCTCTTTTCCAGTTATTTTCTAAATTGATCTTTGCATTTGGTATGAGTGATCTTTCCCTTCTCCTTGACACTCTCTTTGGTTTAGATTCCATGGGGACTTTATTTCCTGTTTTTTCTCTTATTTCTCTTGCCAGATAATTCCTCAGTCCCTTCTGAGGCTTAATTGACCTTCATCTGTTGTTATTCTCTATAACATGCTCTCTCCTTGACTGTACGCTCTCATTTTCCTTAGGTAATCTCATTTATCAGTAGCTCAGCTACCCCCACTCAATACTATTTGTTCCAACTCTGGCCTCTCTCCTAAGCTCTAGTTAGAATAATTATCCATTTGAATATATTCATTTAATTGTTCTATAGATCAACACAATATGGCCAAAATTGAACTCATCAGCCCCCTCCAAAATCTGCATCCGCTGTGTTTTCATCCTTGACATCACCTTTCTCTATCCCTTACCACTAATTACTGTCCTGTATATTTCAGCTCTCAGAATTCTGTCTCTGCAATCTATTCTTTATGTTCCATTACCATGCCTCTGGCTTACATCTTAATAATTTTTCACCTAGAAGGTTGCAGCAGACTCTAACTTGGTCTTCAAGACTCTCCTGGGGAGCAGAAACTGTGTCTTTTATTTCTGTATCCTTGGAGCCCAACTTAATGCTCAGCATGTAGTAGCCCCTCTCTGAGTATGTCAAATGAAGGAATGAACTTTGGTGATATTTTATTGATACACACAAAACTAAAGAAAATATATTAAAATATTTTAAGATAGAAACAATTCCCTGCACTGAAATACATGAATGGCCATATTGTCCATGGTTGCTTTCTCACTACAGTGGCATAGTTAAATAGTTTTGACAAGACCAAACAACCCCCAAAACCTAAAATATATACTATCTAACTCTTTATAGAAAAAGTATGAGCCCCTGTCTTAAAGCAACAGCCTCATTTACAAGGCCAGAAAGAAGAAAATAAGAATCTGCCAAATAAGAATAACCAAAGGCCTAGAAATAAGAAGTATAAAGTATATGTTACCAAGGTTTGACCATAGTTACATTATTAAAATAGTCATATATTAAATAAGTCCCATTTGATTTTCTTAAATGTAAAATTATACCGAAAGTAAGGGGAAAGTCAGTTTGTGCTTTAAATGATGCTAGAAGTGAAGTTTGGGGGCAAAGAGTACAAGAAGAAAAACACTGCGTTCTCAGAGCTAGAACTTGCAGGGCAGAGTAACAGAGGAGGGAGCTGCACAGAGACGTCAAAACATCCACAGAGGGGTTCCCTCCAGGCTGGGACTGAGCATCGCCCCGTGACTGCAGGGAGACTCATGAAACCTAGAGAGCGAATCTCCAGAAAGCAGAGCTCACACAAGACTGGAAATAGTTCTCAATCCTGCCAGTCAGAATGGAAAAGTGTTATAACGTGGAACATCAGACAGAGTACTCAGAAGGGTAGTATCTTAGAAAATTGGCAGAGTTAGCCCCAGATTAAACGCTTCTCTTGAAACATACTAACAAAGCTTAAAGGCTCAACAAAGCTTAAAGTGTCAAAAGGAGCAAAGTTATTTCAAATAACTTCACTAAATGCCAAAGTTAAATCAATAGAACTTAAAGGATTACAACAAAATTAGCAAATAGCAATGTAAAACTGATCATGTTTGACAGCCAGAAGAGACAAATTGCATAACTACCCATTCCTTAAGTGTGAGCTGCACATAGTAAGTTGCTTCCTAAGTATACAGTATGGAAAAGAGAGGGGAAATAACCTACACTACCTCAGCCAGGTGATTAAAGCCAGCATCAACAGTCGTAGACTGTGCCGACAGAATGTATGCCTGATATGATGAAAATGACACTTTAACTCCATGGTCTCCCTGGCAGTAACTCACAACCCTACCATTATTGTGAGAAAACCATCAGACAGATTGCACTAATGTGGCATCCTACAACATACAGAACCAGCAGTCCTCAAAACTGTCAAAATCATCAAAAAACAAGAAAAGCCTGAGAAATTGTCACAGCCAGTAAGAGCTTAAAGAAACATGACAACTCAATGTAATGTTGCACCTTCAATGGGATCATGGAATGGAAAAATGACATTAAGTAAAAAACTAAGGAAATTCAAATAAACTATTGATTTTAGCTACTAGTAATGTATTTGTAATGGTTCATTAATTGTAAATAATGTATCACACTAAATATAAGATAATATAAACTAGGGATGAGGTATATGAAAGCTATCTGCTATATTTTCAATTATTCTGTAAATCTAAAAGTATTCTGAAAAATAAAGTTTATTAAGAAGAAAAAATATATATCAGCCATGCAAAGCGGCAGGAAAATATAATCCACAGTCAGGAGAAAATTCACACCATAAAAACATGTTAGAAATTACAACAGTGGTGGTATTAGCAGACAAAGACATTAAAACAGATATTATAAATATCTCTCACTAGCCTGAGAATGTAGATGAAGAGTGAACGTGGTAAAGAGAGAAACTGATGATATAAAAAGATGCAACTTTTTGAAGAAATGTAACTGAAATGAAAACCATCCTAAACAGGATTAACAGAAGATTAGACAGTGCAGATGAAAAGATGAGAGGCCTTGAATAGCAATAGCAACTATTCAAAATGAAACATTGAAAAAAGGCTTAAAAAATGCTGAGCATCAATGAGAAGTGAGACATTTTTAAGTGGTCTAATGTGATTGAAGGCAGAAGGAGAAGAGGGTGACAGAATATGAGACGGTTGGATGGCATCACCGAGGCAGTGGTCTTGGGCAAACTCCAGGAGATGATGAGGGACAGGGAAGCCTGGTGTGCTGCAGCCCATGGGGTTGCGAAGAGTGAGACACAACTTGGTGACTGAACAGCAAGAACATATGTAAAATTAGAGTTCCAGAAGTAGAGAAGAAAAGATGAAGAGGTACAAAACTGCAGAAAAAGTAATAGCCAGCATTTTTCCAAACTTGATGAAAATTATAAACCCATGGATCCAAGAAAACACACCAAGACCCAGCATAATCAACTTGGTGGAAAAGAAGAGACAAAAAACTAAATCTTAAAGTAACCCATGAGAAAAAAAGGTAGTACATACAGACAAATGATATAAAAATGATAATAGACATCTCATCAGAAACTATACAAGTGAGAAAACAATGGAGTGGCTTTTTTAAAGTAGTAGAGTCTATCAACCCACAATTCTATATGAGGAAAAATATTTTTTAAAAAATAAGATAAAACTGTGGTGGTATCCAAACATTGTCGCAGTAAAACTCAACTTGTAGTAAAAGATTAAAAAGATGACATTAAAATGGAGACTGGTATTAAGAGAAACAAAAAGAGTTTTCTAGACCAGCATGGATAGTACTCCATGTGGATGAACCAGAAGCAGGAAAGAAGAAGAAGAAGAAGAAGCTGAAGGCAAAGTGCACGAAAGGAAAGTGGGACGGCAAAGCAGAAGCAGTAAAGGCAATGAAGGGCTTAGCCTGGTAAGCCCTTAAAACACTCGAAGAATGCCACGCGGGATGGGTCCAACGTATGCGTTGGTTCCAGCGTCCACCAAATAAAAACTTGATTTCCATGTTTTAGCTTGGCTTTTTTCAATTTAAATCCAGCATAACTTCTCAAATTTGTTTTGGGAGCTTGAACAAAATATTTTCTTCGATGGATTTAAAACAATTGGAAAGATAGACATTATCAAACTTTGGCAAGGATTTGGAGAAACCGGGACTCTCATCCATTGGAGGTGGGAATTAAAATGATGCCACCATTTAAGGAAAAAAAAATGTGATAGTTGCTTATAGTTAAGCATATACTTAACATACAACCCAGCAATCCCATCACTATATATTTACCCTGAAGAAATTAAAGGGCAGACTTCCTCTGGTGGTCCAGTGGCTAAGAATCCACCTGCCAATTCAGGGGACATGGGTTCGATCCCTGGTCCAGGAAGATTCCACACGCTGTGGACCAACTAAGCCTGTGCACCGCAACTGCTGAGCCCAGGTGCTGCAACTGCTGAAGCCCATGTGCCCTAGAGCCCGAGCTCTGCAGCGAGGGAAGCCCGAGCTCTGCAACGAAGAGTAGCCCCTGCTCACCAAAGCTGGAGGACGCCCGGGCGCAGCAACAAAGACCAGCGCAGCCAATAAATCAATTAAATAAAAATAAAAATTCTAATAAGAAATTAAAGCAAAGAGATTTATAAACAAATAGTCAAGTTTCTTCCTACTAGCCATAAACTAGAAACTATCCAAATGTCCATCAATTGGTGAATGAATAAGCAAATTGTGATGTATCCATAAAATACAGTGATTGATACATGCAACAACATAGGTGAATCTCAAAAAACATTTTGCTAAATGAAAAAAGCCAAACAGAAAGAGTACATAATATATGTATGAGATTTTAGAAAAGACAAGTAAAGTGAAATAAAGTAGATCAGTGATTATCAGCAACTGAGGATAGAAGAAAAAGATTGACCACAAAGGGTTATGCAGGAACTTTGGGGGATGACAGAAATTTTCTATATCTTGATTTTGGAGATCTTTACATAAGTGTGCACATTTGTCAGACTCATCAAATTGTACATTAAAATTAATGAATTTTTTTCTATGTTAATTATACCTCAGTAAAGCTGATTTTTTTCATTGTCAGCTACCTGGAAAAATTAGCAGGGGTAAATGTGTGATTTTCATTAAATCAGATTACAAACAATACAAACAATTACAATTACAAACAATAATGAGTCTATAAAAAACTTTATTTAGAGCTCCACTTCTGTAACTATTTTTATTTATAACTTTATTTTATGTTCTTGAAATGTTGTTTGTGTTCTTTTGTTGTGCTCAGTTTTTTTTTTTTTTTTTTTTAGTATCTGCAGGATGACAAAAACTTAGTCACAGCTATTGAAATAATTGGTTTTCTTTTGAAGCACTTAAGATCTCTAGAATTTTCATAAATAGACAATGGGTGTTGAAGCCTTCCTCCATGACAATTAAGCAGAGAATGAAGGCTCTCTGTGTGCCTCAGTTTTTTTTTTTTTTTTTTTAGTATCTGCAGGATGACAAAAACTTAGTCACAGCTATTGAAATAATTGGTTTTCTTTTGAAGCACTTAAGATCTCTAAACAATCTCCTACGATGATATACTCTATGTTATGAACATTAACCACAAGAGGAACTGTACTCATACATGTGATGAATATGTATAGTAACTTCCACCTTCAGGGCAGAGATGCTTCAGAGACTTATATAACTATTTTAGAAAAATATTGAAATATTGGTTGTTACATTTGATAGAACAGTTAAGCAAAATAATAGGCTGAGAAGTTAGTTCTAACACCAGACTCTGTTCACAAGTATAAAATCCTGAATTCTTAGATAACAGTAAGAGGAGAAATGCAGTCGTACCAACTAGCCTTTTGGCTAAACTTCCCTCCTCCCTCCGTCTAGACTCAAACGCACTGTTGGGGCCACAGAAGAGGTCCTGAGAATGAAACATAAATTGGGAGCCCCAGGAGCCAATGGCTCCTACCCTCTGATACCTGGGGAGAGGGCGGACTGCATGTCCCTCCACATCGTGTACTGGATGGGCCCTTTGAACACGCCTGGGCTCAGCTTTCTGGAGACAAGCTCCTTGGGCGTCAGCACTCTCATTCCTTGCTCCAAGCTGCAGGGGATGTAAATTGTTTATTCTTAGACATCCTCCAGGGACTGCAGGCAGGCTGTTAATACCACAAGGAAACACTTACCTCTCCAAGAGAGGTGTGATGTCCTAGAAGAGGGAAGGAGAAATGGAAAGGTTAGATGCATGTTCATCAGCTCCAGAAATTTGTTTGGTGTTACTGGCCACCACCAGAATTTGATGGTCTAAACTGCAGTCCTGTGCAGATGGCCCCCATCCCATTGCCACCAACTTCTCTCATCCTCCAAATGCCTTTTCTGATTTTCATCCTTCATCTGTCCCAGGATAAACTGGCTTACTTTCCTCTGATTTTCTAGAGTTTCTTTTTACAGGAAACAAGAAAAAAATTAAGGTTAAGGTGTTTTAACCTATACAGCCACGTAGTCTCAGGAGAACAACACAATAGGTATTCCCACCCCAAGGCCACTTTCTTTACTATGGCTAAATTAAGCTTCTGAGTCCTAAGGTGGTAACCAATGCCACTTTAGAGGTGAAGCGTCAGGTAGCAAAGATTGGCAAACAGCTTTTCAGACAGGTCAATTTATTATTGCTGAGAGCCAGTAAAAGACACAGTTTAGGTGGCAACATTCTTATTTTTGAGAAATTAAAGCTTCAGAGTTCTTTATGGGGAAATATTAAAGCATATTGCTTTTAATGGCATCTTACTATCTTCTTTACTAGGTGTGTGAAAATGTTCAGTTGAGTATAAGGCAAAAGGAACCTTCTGCTTTTCTCCCAGGGAATCTTAAAATACCTACAGCAGATTTTTTTCCCCTCCTGGAAGGGCAAATCTGCTTGTACATTCTTTCCAACCCTCTCTTCCCCCCTCTATTGTACCCATAGTCATGTTGGTATGGAGTCTCACTTTGAGAAAATCGAAGGGGTTCTGCTGCTCCATCCGTGCCTGGATGCTCATCAACATCTCCTTGGCTAGGAGACACTGTTCCTGAATGTGGCTCAGATTCAGCTCCATCTCCTCATTCAAGGCTTTCCCCTCTTCTCGGAGCTCACTTAAAAGGTCCTTTTCTTTGCTGTGCAGGAACTGATGCAGCTTTAGAAACTCCAGGGAGATGTGTCGCTGCAGATGTAGCTTGTTTTCCTGGAAACCTCCATGATCATCACCATGGTAATTACTGAGACTAGGGTTTAGGGATGGGGGCCCACACCACCAGCACTCACACAACTTGGGAAATACCATAATAGGAAAATGCATACAAATACTGCATATCAACATTCAACTGTACTAAAAGGAGGCCTTTGGGAAACTTACTCTGTCTTTCCCAGCTAGTTTAATAGTTAGGGTTGAAATAATCAAAAGTCATCCCTAGGTTCCTGTTGCAAAACTGAGGTGGTAACTAATGCCATCTTAAATAAGACTGTGGGGTTAATCAAGCATTTTAAAATGAACAATAATATCCTTTTATCCAGAAGTACAAACCATTATCTACCAAGTGATGCTGTTAGACTGGGTCCATAGGAGGCTGGAAGAACTGTCCTTTTTTAAGAAATCAGAACTGGAGGAGGTACCATTCCTGCTGCCAGGACAATACAAAAGAAGCCAGAGATGGGCAATGTCTGAAGCACCTGAAATTGATAGCTGCTACACTGGCAGCTCTTTTCCTAGGTGACTTCAGCTTCCTCATGGGTAAGCCATCTGACATCCTGGCTTCTCAGTTCCTCATCATCATTTCTAGTGATTTTTACCTTTATCTACTCATTCTTTTAGTCATATTGAGGGTTTTATCTTCCCCAGCAATTGTACCATCTCCAGAATTACTTTTTATGTTTACCTACCCAGGTTCCACTGTTGCAACAGTTATTGGATTTCATAGAATCCTCCTATTCATTGACCCCTCCATTTCTGTTCATCAACTTCTCTGTCTTCATGTCCCCTCTTATCCAGCTTATATTCTATGGTCAACCACTGTAATTGTACTCTTTAAAATAGTCTTAACTCTCACTGTCTTCTAGGTCAGACATTTCCGTTTTTCCTTTTACCTATTTCACCACTATTTCTGTCTCATTTGTTAGTTGTGTCTCTAACCAAGCTTTGAATATTAGATGACTTGATATTCTGTCCTAGGCTCTTTACCTTTCCCATTCTACACTCTCGTTCTCGGTAAGAGCCTCTGCTCTCACAGCTTTGAAGTGTAGTCTGTACACTGACTTCTTTTCAGCCTAGACCAACTTCTGAACTCCAGATTCATATATCCAACTGTCTATTTGATATCACCACTCGCCTCTCATATCTAATCAGTCACCACATGCAGGTAGTTTTTATTTCCAAAGCATATGCTGAAGCTGTTTATTTCTTTCGGTCTCTACTGCCTTTTTAGTCCAAGCCATCATCGTTCTCTGGGATCACTGCAGTAGTCGTCTTCTAACCATTATCCTTGTCATTGCCTTTCTCCAGTCCACACTCCCACAGCCACCAGACTGATGCTTTCAAAATTAGATGAGACCGTGTCCTGTTTAAACCCTTTAATGACTTCTTAATTATGCACAGAATGAAATTCAAAATTCATAACTTTATCTACAAGGGCCTACATGATTAGGCCTTATCTGCCTTTTCGGTCTCATCTTGCCTACCAAGATCCATCTTAATTGGCCTTCTTTCTGTTTAACAGAGTAACTGGCTTCCTGTCTCAAGAACTTTTCTGTAATGCTCTTTCCTCTTCATAGAACATTCTCCAGGCCATTTCCTTCATATTCCCCTCACCCAGTTCACTTGGCTAAAGATAACACTTATCCTTTAAATTCTCAATTTTTAATAAGAAATTTTTAATTTCAATTTTTAGTGACTTCTTCAGTCTAGATTAGGTTCTCCATTTATATACTCTGATATACTGTATATTTATAGTAATTTATAGTAATTATCACAGTGATGTTTTATTATTGGTGGGATTATTTAATTACCATCTGTCTCCCACCATAGTTGGAATACAATATCTAGCATAATCCTGCACCACTCAAATATTAGTTGAATGAATGAGTGTTGACTGTAATAGCTGAATTAAGAACTCTCAGAACAGGAACACGATTCTCTTGAGACATCATTATTTCCATCTATCCTTCTTCTTTCCCTCATTATATTTATTTCTTCTTCCAGATGCCAAATGCCAGAGAAGACTCTCCTCTATAGAATAATTAATGAAGAAACAGAACTCCCAAATTATTCCCCCAACCTAGGAACTGATTTGCCAAGTCCCTAACCATTAATGTTGTCCTAGAGCTCCTGTGAAGTTGAAAGTATAAGCAGTAGTTTTATTTAGTTTGGGAAAAGCTAAGAAGGATTAGATCAGAGAGAAAGCCAGCAATCTAAGAGACCTTGGTTCAGAGATGCCTGGTTTTAAGCCCAAAGAAAAGAAAGGTATTTCTTTGAACATTGCAATCTTTAGTGGATTTTTTTAAAATAAATTCCTTATTTTGCCATAGATAATAGGAAAGGTCAGACAGATCACAGCCCCATAGCAATCACCTAGTGACTGCACCATGAAAAGGATCGGTTTATCTAGGGGAAAGGTCAGTCTGCTCTCTCTGTTGATCAGCTATTGGGAACCTAGTCCACTGCCATATTTCTTCCCACTCGTACAATGTCTCTTTTCTACTTCTATAGCCCAGGTGCCATTTAGCATTTTGTTATATATGTAAAGATACCTTTCCACCCACATAGCTGAAGTTACAAGGAGGGTACAATTCCAGTTCTGTCTCATGATCCGTCTACCCTGTTCCTCACCTTGTGAGCAGCAATAGCATCTTTCTGCATATTCTTCAGGGACTGAAGCTCCTTCAGGGTTGCCTCCAGTTGACCCTGATGGATGGTAAGCTCCTCCTAGGGATACCGTAAAGAATTAACCCATGCTAATTGGGAGATAAAGGGCCATGAGGAACATCTACCCCAAAGCCCCAGGGTGTCAGGGGGAAAGAAAGCAAGCTTCTGCTACAAAAGTCTCCTTTTCCCTTGTATCATAATTCCTGTCTCTTCCAAAAATTATGAAGAAAATTACAAACTGCAGAAAAACTAAGTTTTATCTTCTTATTAGCTAACTACAGGGCTTTGAGGAAGATAACAGAACTCTGTACATTTTCTACTATATTTATACTGTTCTTGCTATCTCTACTTTTACTTACAATGTTCTGAGAACACTTGTTTCTTCCTTCTGTCAATTCAAATAATTGCCCCCCATTCAAGCTTTCTTTCACCATGCCTCCCCTGACCATTTCAGTTTTCTCTAATCTCTGAAATTCTAAACATTTGTGAATTACAAATGTGACAAAAATTTAGCTTTCAGCAGTAGACTGTCTTATATTCCTTCTGTTGTTTTGTTCACTTTAAACTTGACTGAGAAGACCCAGAGGGATGGGGTGGAGAGGGAGGTGGGAGGGGGGACCAGGATGGGGAATACATGTAAATCCATGGCTAATTCATTTCAATGTATGACAAAAACCACTGCAATCTTGTAAAGTAATTAGCATCCAACTAATAAAAATAAATGGAAAAAAAATAAAGCCTAACAAATAATGAAAAAAAATAAAAAATAAAAATAAACTTGTCTAAATTTCAAGACTTTTATAACAAAAGCAATATTTTACATGTCCGTGTTCTGTACAGTGTCTGGTAGATGCTGTCAAGGCAAGTTTTCAGTAAATGCTTGATTGATTGAGGAAGTAAAGGAGGAAGTAAAGGAAGTAAAGGCCAGAGCTCCTTCACTGCTTCCCTGTAATTGACAACTACAGAGAAAGAACTTTGCAAGATACGTTGTATTTTTTGAGTGCTCTGAGCTTTCTAATAATCACTTACTGAAGGGGTGGTATTGAAAGAAGTCCAACAAATGGTTTTTCCCAGCCTTCCTAAGGAATTGCTCAAGACTGTTCAAGACCCAGGGCTCACCCACCGTGAAGAAACGGACAGCATCAGAGATCTGCAGGAATTCTTTAGACTGCCCCACAGACAATCGAGCATCTTTGCATTGAAAGCATATTAGTCTCCCATCTGGCTTACTGAACAGTTTCAGGTTCTCTCCATGCTCTGGGCACCGTGGATGGCCCTTGAGCAGGGGTAGCTTCTTAATCTTCTCTACTAGCTTCTCCAGTACAAGGTTAAATGTACAGTTGCTGTACTGACATAACATCTTACACTCAGGACAGAATGTTTCATTTGCTTGCTGCTTCCAAAAATTTTGGATACAAGATTGGCAGAAGTTGTGGCCACAGCTTAGCATTAGTGGATCACGAAACCAGTCATTACACAGTGGGCAGTGTAATTCCATAGTAATATCTTGTATCTGCACTTTGGAGGATATTTGGGTGATCAAATCATTCACTTCAGCGTAGCTGTCTGAGTCAGTGCTGGAGGAGAGGTTGGAAGATACCTTTGAAAAAGAACAGCTAAAATGAGTTTCTCTTTCTTGTTGCCCACTTCAGCATTTCAGGGTAGTGGGCTCTGTTCCTAAAGGAGCTGAGAATTAGTGCAACCAGGGTAAAAGCACTATCATCTCTTCTTTCAAAGTGATCAGTAAATTCAGTGTTCTCTAACATCAGAGTTTATTCTACTCCCAACATTATTAATCTTTAAGAGAACCAAGGCAGAAGAAGAAAGAGTACCCAGTCAAAGAAATGTGTTTCATTGTGTATCACTTCTTCCACTCACTTTCTCCTTGTATCAGTTGAAAGTTTTACTTTAAACATCTGGTCTATTAGTTATTACCTTTCATTTTGTTTTCTGGAAGTCATGTGCAAAGAATTGAAAGATCTGTCAGATTCCTCAGTTAATGGCATAATACCATCAACCATAATATCATCCAGGCCCTTCACCCTTCCTTTTTAAAAAAACACGTTCCAGAAATAACATTTATACAGAAAATGTAGAATCATAAGGGTATACAGATCAATGACGTTTCACAAAATGAATATATCTGTGTAATCATAACCCTGATCAAGAAACAAAACATTTTCAGGATAACCAACAAGGTCCTACTGTATAGCTCAGGGAACTCTGCTCAAAGTTATGTGGCAGTCTGGATGGGAGTGGGGAGATTGGGGGAGAATGGATACATGTATATGACTGAGAGTCCCTTCAGTGTCCACCTGAAGCTGTCACAGTGCTAATTGGCTATACTTCAATATAAAATAAAAAGTTAGTTTGAAAAAAGAATAAACTTGAAAACAGCATTAAAAAAAGGAAAAACATTTTCAGCATCCCAGAAGTCCCCCTATATGCCTGCTTCAAGTCACTGTCCCTCATTAAGACTGACCCCCATCCTGATTTCCAACACAATATACTAGTTTTACCTGTTTTTTAATTTTACATAAATCTTTTGTTGCTGACCTCTTTTGTCAACACTATATTTTGGGGATTTATTCATATTCTATATAATTTTGGTCCATTCATCCTCATTGCTGTATAATATCCAGTGTACAAATATACCATAATTTATTTCTCTGTTCTATTGTTGATAAACTTTTTGAGTAGTTACCAGTGTGGAGCTATTATAAATAGTGTTGCTAGGAACATTCCTACTCATGTTCTTTTATATTATATACAGACATATGTTGGAGATATTGTGAGTTGGGTTCCATGTGACCACAATAAAATGAATATCAGAGTAAAGTGAATCACATGAAATTTTTGGTTTCCCAGTGCATATGAAAGTTATTACTGTAATCTATTACATGTACAATAGCATGATGACTAAAAAGTACGTATCTTAATTAAAAATACTTTTTTGTTCAAATATGCTAACCATCATTTGAGCCTTCAACAAGTAGAGTCTTTTTGCTAGTGGAGAGTCTTGCCTCTGTGTTGATGGCTGCTGACTGTTCAGGGTGATGGTTGCTGAAGGCTGGGGTGGCTGTGGAGGTTTCTTGGAATAAGTAGTGAAGTTTGCTGCATTGATTGACTCTTCCTTTCATGAATGATTTCTCTTTAGCATGCGGCACTGTTTGATAGCATTTTACCCACACTAGAACTTCTTTCAAAATTGCAGTCAGTCCTCTCAAACCTTGCCTCTGCTTTATCACTAATTTTATTTCATAGTCTAAATCCTTTGTTGTTATTTCAATACTCTTCACGGCATCTTCAACTGGAATAGATTTTACCTCAAGAAACCACGTTTTTCCCTCATCCATAACAAGCAACTTCTCTGTTAGAGTTGTTTTTTTGTTTGTTTGTTTTTTAATGTGGACCATTTTTGAAGTCTTTGTTGAATTTGTTATAATATTGCTTCTGTTTTGTTTTGGTTTTTTGGCCGCCAGGCATGTGGGATCTTAGCTCCCTGACCAGGAATCAAATCCACATTCCCTGCATTGGAAGGTGACCGCCACTAGACCGCCAGTTGTTTTTGTTGTTCAGTGGATCAGTTGTGTCCTACTCTTTGCAGCTCCATGGGCTGCAGCACACCAGGCTTCCCTGTCCTTCACTGTCTCCCAGCATTTGCTCAGACTCTTGTCCATTGAGTCAGTGATGCCATTCAACCATCTCATCTTCTGTCATCCCCTTCTCCTCCTGCCCTCAGTCTTTCCCAGCATCAGGGTCTTTTCAAATGAGTCAGCTTTTTGCACCAGGTGGCCAAAGTATTGAAGCTTCAGCTTCAGCATCAATCCTTCCAATGAATATTCAGGGTTGATTTCCTTTAGGATTGACTGGTTTGATTTCCTTGCTGTCCAAGAGACTCTCAAGAGTCTTCTCCAGCACCACAGTTTGAAAGCATCAATTTTTCAGTGCTCAGCCTTCTTTATGGTCGAACTCTCACATCCATACACGACTACTGGAAAAACCATAGCTTTGACTATAATACAGACCTTTTTCGGCAAAGTAATGTCTCTGCTTTTTAATACGCTGTCTAGGTTTGTCATAGCTTTTCTTCCAAGGAGCAAATGTCTTTTAATTTCATCACTACAGTCACCATCCACAGTGATTTTGGAGTCCAAGAAAAGAAAGTCTGTCACTGTTTCCATTTTTTCCCCATCTATTTGCCATGAAGTGATGGGACTGGATGCATGATCTTAGTTTTCTGAATGTTGAGTTTTAAGCCACCTTTTTCTCTCTCCTCTTTCACCTTGATCAAGAAGCTCTTTAGTTCCATGAAATTGCAGTTAATTGAGTCATATCTTTAGGCTCCACTTCCAGTTCTGGTTCTCTTGATATTCCACCACATCTGCAGGTACTTCCTCCACTGAAGTTTTGAACCCCTCAAAGTCTTCGTTGTGGGTTTTAGTCAACTTCTTCCAAATTCCTGTGTATGCTGATAGTTTGACCTCTCCCCACAAATCATCAATGTTCTTAATGGCATCTACAGTGGTGAATCCCTTCCAGAAGGCTATCAGTCTACTTTGCCCAGATCTATAAGAGGAATCACTATCTAATGCAGCTATAGCCTTACAAAATGTATTTCTCAAATGGCAAAACTTATAAGTTGAAATTATCCTTGTTCCATGTCCTGTTGGCAGGCATGAAAACAACGTGAATCTCATTGTACATCTCAATCAGAGTTCTTGAGTAATCAGACAAATTATCAATGATATTTTGAAAAGAATCTTTTTCTGAGCAGTAGATCTTAAGAGTGGGCTTAAAATATTCAGTAAACCATGTTGTCGGCAGATGTGTTGTCATCTAGGTTTTGTTTATAGAACACCAGCAGAGTGTATTTAATGTAAATCCTAAGGGCCCTAGGATTTTCAGAATGGTAAATGAGCACTGGCTTCAACTTAAAGTAAACAGCTGCATTCGCCCTTAGCAGGAGACACATCCTGGCCTTTGAAACTAGGGAGCCAGCCACTGACTACCCCTCTAGCTGGGACAGTCCTCAGTAGCATCTTCTTCCAATATAAGGCTGCTTCATCTACCCTGAGAATCTGTTGTTTAGTGTGACCACTCTCACTAATGATCTTAGTGAGAGCTTGTGAACAGTTTGCTGTAGCTTCTACCTCAGCACTGGCTGCTTCACCTGGAACCTCCATGTCTGAGAGATGGTTCCTGGAGCCGTGTGTCCCCCTCGGCTAGGCTCAGACTCTTCTTCTGCAGCTCCCTCACCTCTCTCAGCCTTCCTGAAATCGAAGAGAGTTAGGGCCTTGCTTGGATGAGGCTTTGACTTAGGGGTTGTTGTGGCTGGTTTGATCTCTTACCCAGACCCCCAAAGCTTCCTGCATTATCAGCAGTAAGGCTGTCTTTGCTTTTTCACTTTTCACAGCTTATTGGACTCGCACTTTTAGTTTCCTTCAAGAAATTTGTCTTTGTATTCCCAAGTTGGCCATGTGGCACAGGACGCCCAGCTTTCAGCCTGTCTTGGCTTTTGACATGCCTTCCTCACCAAGGCTTAATCTTTTGTAGCTTTTGATTTAAGGTGAGAGACATGTGACTCTTCCTTCCCTTTGAACACTTAGAGGTCATTGTAGGGTTATTAGTCAGCCAAATATCAATATTGCTATGTCTCAGGAAATAGGCAGGCCCAGGGAAAAGGAGAGAGACAAAGGAATGGCCCATCTGTAGCAGTCAGAACACACACAGCATTTATTAAGTGTCCTTGTCTTATGCGAGTGTGATCTGTGGGGCCTCAGAACAGTTACAACAATAACATCAAAGATCACTAATCACAAATAATATAATATCTGTGCTAGAAATTTAATAATACATATAATTATTTATTATATAATAATATGTAATAGCTCAGATATTAGTATACTAAATTAAAAGCTTGAAATATTACAAGAATTATCAAAATGTGGCACAGAGACACAAAGTAAGCAAATACTTTTGGGAAAATGGGACCAATATACTTGCACAGAACAGGGTTGCCTTCAATTTGTAAAAAGATGCACAATGCTATTAATAACATTATTACCTGTGTTATTGTATGTCTTTTCTGTATTTTTTTGTGGACATGTGTAAACATTATACATGTGGAAATAGCATTGATGGATCATGAGGTATGAACACCTTTACCTTTACCACATGGTACCAAACTGTTTGCCAAAACAATGGTAGCAATTTATACTCTACTAGCAGAACATGAACATTCTGGTTGCTCCACATCCTCACCAACATCTCTTTTTGTCACATTTTCTGTCTTCTAACAAACCAACTGATGTGTAATGGTATCTCAGTATAGCTTTAGTTTGCATTTTTGTGATTACCTAATGCAGTTTAACATTTTTCACATATTCGTGGATCATCTCTTGTTAAGAGAAGTGTCTTAAGTCTTTTGTTCATTTTTCTAATGAGTTGTTTGTCTTATTGATTCAGAGTAGTTCTCTATATATTCCAGGTACTAGTTCTATTTTGGTTGTTTTGTAAATATCTTCTCCCACCTCTGGTATATGGCTTGTCTTTTCATCCCTGTTATAGTGTCTTGCCATGAAAAGAAGTCCTTAATTT